TTTTTTTTTTTCTAAAAACCTGAAACTACTGAATAAAAAAAAAAAGAATTTTTTTTCAAACCAACCCTTTTTTTTTTTTTTTTTTTTTTTTTTTTTTTTTTTTTTTTTTTACTAAATTTAAAACTACATCACATCCTTCACAATGTTTCTGATCTCTTGTTTGCCTCCACCCACCTAAGATCTTATTTTAATGTGACAGGTGAGATCATTCTGTCACTTGTTTTAAGACATTAAGAGGAATGGTTAAAAATAACCAACCTCTTGGTTGTCACGCACTCGAAACCAAATGCTGTTTTCACACAAAACAACTGTTTCTTCATTTAAATACTTTCAAAACTGTTATTGTTGCATTTCATTTTTCATAATTTTTACTTGAATAACAGAAGCATCAATAATTGATGCTTTTGAATTGAATTTTCTTTCAAATGTTGTCTTATTAGTTTGTGCACAACATCACACTGACCTTGTTGTTGACCTGACTTATTTTAGCCTGACTTCTCATCAGTGAACAGGAAAAGGCCCTGCAGTTTGTAGCAGAAACAAAGTTCACAGTGACGTCAGTGTTAGTAAATTAAGATATTATAATCTCAGTCTAAGGTGAATCATAGACTCTGCTTCCTGCTCTTCTCTTTTTATACAGACGCTGCATTTGCATCGTGTCACTTCACTGAAGAAACGTTTGACTGAAGCAGAAAAGCTTCCTGGAAGCCAAGATGGAGAAAACCTTGGATCCTTTGCTGGGCTTATTGTGTAAGTAAATCACTTTCTGTGTTTCAATGGTGCAAATCAAGGAAAATAATATTTTAGTTGAAAAATGAGCTTTAGAAATGTCTCTTGTGTTTGTTTCCTGCTGTCATTGTTTTCTTCATTCTGTAAGTATTTGACAACCTGATTATAATCTAATCTAATAAATTACTAACATTGACCGATGACAGAGACGATCAAATCTAACTCTGCTGATAAGAACATAAAAAGTATAAAGACATTATCACATTATAATTGAACCTTCTGGTTCAATTATAATGAACCAAATTATAATTTGCCTATAACCAAATTATAATTTGTGAGTTATAGGCCACAATGAGTTATATTGTGGCCTATAACTCACAATTCAACCTTCTATTGTAAATTACAAGTCGAGTGAATTTGGTTGAATTTGATGTAAATCTGGGAATATTTAGTTATCAGTGTCAAGTTTCTGAAGTGCAACTTAAACTCATCAGTCAGAAAAAATATTTATAATAATGATAGCTGCAACCTTTAAAGTTATTTTAATCAAAACAGTAAAATGAATCCATAAATGAATCCTATGTATTTTAACAAAATAATACAATTGTTAAATAGAACAACAAAGTCTGTGCTAAATGTAAGTGTGGCATTGTGTTTTTAAATATTTGTAATGTTAACAAGGTTTCAACCTTTATTTCAGTGCTGATCTCACTTTTCTGCTGGGGACAAAGTCAGGGTAAGATCAACTTTTAATATGTATTTTAAAGATTTATTCTCTCATGAACAGCCTCGGCTTTATTCCTGTATTTCACGACTTACTTTGTTTTTAGCTTTTTTCTTTTTAGTTTGTTTTATCAGTGATTGTTAACTAGAAAAGAAATTAGTTAAATGTTGGTTCTGTTGTAGATGCTGTGCTGACTACTGAGCCCAACTGGTCGACTTTTTATTCTGGAGAGTTTGTTACCTTTAGATGTGACATGAATGAAGGAGAAAACAGGCTCATGTAAAAATGACATTTTTAGAGATTTCATTTTTTAATGAGTAAATAAATATATTCAGTCATATTATACTATGAACATATATTTACTTTCTGGCAGAAACATGGCAACATGATTTCAAGTCTTTTGTTGTAAGATGGGCCTATTTTTGTTTCCATCAACAGCAGACAGACCCACGGCCACATTGGCAGCAGGTTCAACAACCATACCAGAAGGGGGCAGTGTGACACTGAGCTGCTCAGTGGAGCCCTCTGCTGGATGGAAATTCAGATGGTTCAGACGGACCATAAACACACCTGAAGCTGAAATCACAACAAATAATATAGAAAACAGAAATATCACTGTGACACAAGAAGGAATCTACTGGTGTGATGGAGTGAGAGGAAATCCTGCCTTCATCAGTCATCTAAGCAATGAGGTCTCCATTGAGATAATCTGTGAGTTCTTTCTTAAAAACTGTTAGAAATCCAATCTGTGAAATCATTTTTTTTCTGATTTTCTGTTTCTGCTCACATTTGATAAACAGTTTCCAACAAGGTTGTTGTGACTCGACAACCAAACCGGCCTCTTGTCTTCAGTGGTGAGACGATCACTCTGACATGTGGGGTCCAGGGAGGAGAAACCACTGAGTGGAAGTGTGACTGGAAGAGAGATGGATCACTTATACACAAGACAAACAGTAAAGACTGGACTTTCATTGTCTCTAAGGCAAGAAGTCGAAACTACATGTGTCGGTGTATAAAGAGAGATGACTGGTTTTCTTCAACACAGTGGAGTGAAGCCGTCACTCTGTCTGTATCAGGTGAGTCATGTTTTGTTCTTAGAGTTGGTCTGCAGCAAACTGAACTGAATCACTGCTTTCTGCTGCTCTACCAGCAGGGGGCGTCCAGGAGCGCTTAAACTTTTGCTGAAGATGGAAAGATACAAATCTCTTTCAGTATAGATATTTAGATAAAGATGATATAAGTGACATAAATGAAAACTTTATTTATGAAACACATTTAAAGGCAACTTAAACCACAGATAGATTTATTTTTTCTAAAATATCCATCTAGAATATTCAAATTAAATTCATATGATTTAATGCATATAAGATAGATTCAGATAACGAAAACAATCCATCTGTCCATTTTCTTACATCCTAATCCCATCCGGGTCAGAAGGAGTGCTGATGCCCATCTGCAGCTGTCAATGGGCAAGAGGTGGGGTCACCCTGCACAGGTCGCCAGTCCATCACAGGGCAACACAGAGACAGACAGGACAAACAAACATGCACGCACGCACACACACACACACACACACACACACACACACACACACCGAAGGAGAATTTAGAGTAAACAGTTAACTTGACAGTCATGTTTTTGGACTTGGGGAGGAACCCAGAGTACCCAGAGAGAACCCACACATGCACAGGCAAGGCAGCAGTGCTACCAACTGTGCCACTGTGCAGCCCTAATGCAGACAATTTCATTAGGGTTGCACAGATCTTATTATAGTAACAGATGTAACAACATCTGTACATTTTGCTTTGTTTGGTCATAACATAGGAATATATGGCTGATTTAGTCCATCTAAATAAGCTGTCAGTGGTAAGAGGGAGTAATATTATTTTTACTTTATGGTTAAAGGCTCCAGAAAGCAGATCAATGATACTTGGAGTTATTGTGTAAAACAAATGGCAACACTGGTTATAAATGTAGTTTTCTATCTTCTTATTTTAATCTCAACAGATAAACCAAAAGCTGAACTCAGTTCTGACGCCTCAAAGCTGCCAGTAGGAGGAAGAGTACTTCTGACCTGTTCAGTGATGTCATCATCCTCCTCCTCCTCTGATTGGAAATATGACTGGTACAAAGAGCAAAGCTCCTCTAAACCTCTGACCTCACAAGATGCTGATTTCCCCTCTAATGGACAAATGAGCGTCTCAGAGGAAGGACTGTACTGGTGCAGAGGAGGAAGAGGAGAACCAGTTTACTACACAGACTACAGTGATCCAATTAGCATCAAGACAAACTGTAAGCTGAGCAAAACCTTTCCTCTGAGTTAATGAGATCACAGTATTAGATCATGATAGCTATTAATAACTAAAATTAAAAACCATGAACAGCCACGCAGCATTTAAATAGCTTCAACAAATTAACATAAAAGAAGAAATATACATTTATGATTATTTTTTTCTCTGTTGTCCAAATTCTTTCTCCAATACTTCTTTAAACTGTGATTTAATGAGGCTTTCTCCATATTGTTTAAGTCATTTCCTGAAGAAGCTGATCTGACTGAGGTTTACCTTTCAAACTGAGGAGAACAAAGACTAAACAATGTGAGGAGATAAAGTGGAAGAAGATCAGAAAGATAAACTGATTTATCATATCAGAAGGAGATGGATGATCTTTTCTAGTAAAAATAAAGAAAAGACTCCATTCATACATAATTTCTAACCCATCGATCCATTCATTAAGTTTCCTTGCATGTTCATTCATTTGAAGAGACGTGTGTGTAGAGTTCATTGAAGTATTTTACAATAATTACAAGTAACAGTAATAACCACTTTTTCTTTGACAATGCTTTATTGGAGTTTGATTCTGATTAATGGAATCAAACATAAAACTGACTTAGAAATACAACTGAGCTAAAAATGATTCCAACCTCTGACAGTTTTATATCATCAATCAACCTTGAATAGTTGATTCATCACAACAAAGTGCAATGTTAAAGTAGCATACATTTTCATGATAATATTTAATTTGGATCTATGGTTAATGATTATAACAAGTGGAAATTTTCACATATTCACTGTGTTTTATCTTTGGAGAGGAGCTCCATATTTAGCTCTCTCTATAGATTCTCTCTCTCATTCAGGTTAAGTCTGGCTTGACCACAATAAAACCTTTATCCCAATAATTTATTGCAAAACAACTGCTAGAAGAATTTATCAGTTTGATCACACAGACTCTGTTGTCTACAAAAAATGACGTTACACTTTGCACTTTAAATTACTGACACAGCTTAAAGAGAAGTTCTTGATCTGAATATCCTGATTGTTTTACAGATGATGATTATGATGGTATTATCCTAGTGAGTCCTGTTCATCCTGTGACTGAAGGAGATCCTGTTACTCTGAGCTGCAGAGATAAAGAACAACAACTTCTCTCCAATGTGTTTTTCTATCATAATGATAAACTCATCCATAATGACAGCAGAGGGGAGCTGAAGATCTCTGCAGTGTCAAAGTCAGATGAAGGTTTCTACAAATGTCAACATTCAGGAAAAGATTCACCAAGGAGCTGGATGTCTGTTAGAGGTGAGGAGGAGGAAAATGTTTGATGGATTTTATTCATTAAAAACATTGAAATGTGAGAGAGAAACAAGATGAAACTGATTATGTTTGTCAGTATTTTAGCATAAAGTCACTTTTTCTTCAACAGAAAATGTCATATAATCTGCAGATCAAAATATTTCTTCCTTGTTATGTTTCTAATTTCCAGTAACTGTATCCAGTCCTGCCAGCTCTTCATTTCCTGTGCTGTTGATCATCGGACCAGTTGTTGGAATCGTTCTCATTTTCCTCCTGCTCTTGTTCTTTTGCTGCAGACGGAACATCGGTGAGACATTCTTTTCTGTTCATACAAGATCTGATTGTTCACTTTTAAAAATCATTGTTATAGATGTACTGTGATGCTATAGCACGAAATCCAGGCTTAATTTAAATAATGCGAACACATGTCTTTCTCATACTTATTGTGCATCATAACATTTGTCTTTCCTTTTAAACCTGTCAGAAATAATTGTCAGTCTTTCTGTATATCAGTGTACGTGTAAAATTTTAGACAGAAGTCAGAACGTCTCCTCTATGCAACGTAACAAAAAGAAAACCTTAATTTAAATGAGATCTAAACAAGTGACTGAAAAAACAAGATGAAAAGATAAAGTCAAAATGTATTTTCTAATATTCTAATTACTTCACATATTTAAACTTTAAAAAGCTTTTGACTGTTTTCTGTCGGTGCTGCTCATCTCTGTGACTCACTGAATTTTTCTACAACAGTAGGAAATGGTAAGGCTTAAAATGTGATTTCTGAGTTATTTAATTCTTGTCAAGATCTCTAACTAATCTGTAAACCTTTCAGTTGTAGATGAACCCGGAGCTCCTCCTGCATACTCCCAGATTGAGCTGAGAAACTTCAGGGAAGACTGTGAGTTCTTTGTAGTGAAACCAAGGGCGTAGATCCCATCTCATTATTGGGAGCTTGGGGGGAATAAACAGGGAAATTTCTTAAGAGCAGCTTTGGGGGGGTCGGCAAAGTTCCACTGAAATGTAAAGTAAAATGTGGTTTAAAAAGATTTTAAACCACATTCAAGCTGCAGGACCAAAAATGACTAGTAATGCACATCAAACATGTTTTATTCTCAGTAAGCAGCCTGCTGAGAAATAAATCTAAAATTCAAATGTTGCTTCTGTTCAAGTTTTGTTCAGTCTGACTGATCTAATCTCTGCTACACCTTTACAAAAATGTAAGGTTCGAAATAAAAACAAGTTTTAATTAGTATCTCCTCTTAATAAAATTCCTCATAATCATGGATTTATTGTAAGTTGTGGGCTATTTAAATTATAACTTAAGTTGCTGTATTTTAAAGCCTTTTTTTAGTTGTGCCATGTCCTGGATGGCGGAGAACAAACAAGTAGAGAAATGAATGTCTAGGAAGTATCATAACTTAAACGTAACACTTAAAGCATCAGGGTTTATATAGAAAAATATTCAGATTTTATTTTGGGGATTAAAAGGCTCTACGTTGAAGATGGTGAGAAATAAAGGCAGTTTTCAGTTTTTTCTATCTGTTCTCTCTTCTGTTGGCCATTCCTCAGCCCCTCCCTCCGGTTTCAATCTCTTCTAATTAACATAAAAGTTAAAGAGTTAAATATGAATGAGATGTTTGCTACCTTTGACAAAAAAGCTTCAGTCTATCAAAGCAATGTAGTCAGCTTAGTTTTTTTTTTTTAGGGGGAGGGGGGATTCTAGATTTTCCAACATTGGGAGGTCCGGACGCCCCCAACCCCCCCCCAGGATTTACGCCCATTAGTGAAATATGCGTATTTATGTCTTTGGAAATATGTCTTCATGTCTTTACTCTGCAGCTGATTTCAGGTCAACATGGAGGTCAGATTATCATCTGTCCTGACCAACTACATACTAACACTGGACAAGAGCAGAAACTGATAAATCAGATATCACTGTGTCTTTACTCTGATGTTTTCTGTTTCAGTCTCAACTCCAACATATGGTAATATCAATTATCAGAAGAATAAGAAAGGTAAAGATATAGTCTGTATTTATCCTTCTTTTTGCTAATATGTCTCTCTCTGGTTGAGTATATAAGAATTAATAATCAGCCTCTTCATTTACAGGAAAGCGAAGTCCTGCAGCAACAGATGCAGATGCAGTTTATTCTGAAATCACAACATGAGCAGCTTTGGGTAACAATGATGCCATGTAGTTTCACATTATTGGTTTATTATGGGATTTATTACATGAGGTAATCTCACAACAACATTCTTAAATCCTTTATTTTCTTACATATTTCATGTGTTGAACATTTCAAAAGTCTGTAAAGAGGACTGTGTTAGGCAACAAACATTTTCTGAAAAATACTGAAAAAAACAAACTGAAGAAATTGTTAGTCATGTGTACGGATGCTATGATGAAGTTTGAATACATTACATAAATTTGTATGTTTTTGTTATGGTTTATTTTAGGAGTGCATAATAAGTAAGTTGTTCCTGAAACTAGCCTATGTTGATCCCTCCTTTTTTATTTTTTTCCTCCGCTCTTCCATTAGCTGTTTCTTTACAACTCCTCGGTGGACGTGAACTGAGTGCTTTGGCTTATTTTAAAGTAAAATATTTTTCTGAACTAAGTAAAAAAGCCTGACACAGAATGTGTTCACAAAGTTGTGCAAACTCATTAGAATGTAAGAAATATTTTTCAGTTAAATTTCACTTCCAAAGGTTTGTTTTTACAATAATGAAAATATCATGTTACAGTTTTTTCAATATCTCCCACTCCTACTATATTTTATTTTTTAGAATTTTATANAAAATATATTTTTGTTTTAATTGTTCAATTAGTTATTGCATTTATAAAATAGTCTGGTACTGATTAATTAGTCACCGTGCATTTATTCAAAACAAAGTCAATGCAGGCAAATAATTAAAAGCTGCCAGAAATGCTGAACTTTTGCCACAATGTACAGATTTTTGCTTGCAGAATGTGTTCATTTCTGACTGATTTGAATTATTTTGTGCCTCTTTTTAAATCAATTTCTTACGTATTGGATTCATGTTAATGTGTATTTGAAGACATGATGTTGAATAAAAAAAAAACCCAAAAATATTTAACATTTAGTTGTAAATCAAAAATCTCGTACGTAGAGGTCGCGACCCCTATGTTGAAGTCTTTATTTCTACACAGTCGCCTCTAATAGAGCATAATCATCATAGTGAAGGGGTCTGTTATGAATGTAATAATTTTATTTGTGAGAAAATTTGAAAGTTGTGTTTTATTTTCCACTCTGTAACAGTTATGTACTGCTTTTTGATGGACTGTCACAGAAAATCCCAAAGAGATGCAGCTTTTTCTAGTTGTAGTCTTTTTTGGGGATTCTGTGTTTTTCGAGAGTGTGTCATCCTTGTCTAAGAGGATCTTTGTTTGAGACCTGTGGGTCACCTGCACAGGTGTTTTCCATCGGCCTCATCAAGGTACTGATAATGTAAGCAACTGCAGATCCTTCACTTGTTGCTGGTATGAATAGTCTGAAATAATGACATCTGGTGGCTATTTTAATGTACTACAGTTTACGTGGATAAAATTGATAACTTCATTTAACTCGTGAGGGTTCATTAAAGCTTATGTTCTCCAACAAAGCCTGTGTTTTTGTAGTTTACGTAAAATTGAAAGGATGTTACAATAAAGCTTTTTTTTTTAAACAGTGACACATTGTTCTGTTGGACTGTAAATTATTCCATTAATTATTATTTTCTTTCTATTACTATCTGAGAACTTATAGCTTTATGATAGAAGAGGCTTTGAGCAACATTCAAAAATTTTTATTCAAAAAAGGAAAAAGAAAGAAAAAATATCAGTTTTTGGCTTCAGTCTGCTCCTCTTCTGGCTCACTACCTCTCCAGCTTGCATGACACTAGTCTCAAAGTTTTAAATACACTCAAGTCATAGTACTCTGTTGCTCCCGCTGATGATAAAGTTTTCTATTCAAACAACTGGTCTCTGTCTCTCTGGGTTCTGACTCACTGGCTCCCCCTTGTGGTAGAACCTGTTGGTGTGGCTCTAAGCCACATTAGCTCAGTGCTTACATGCACAAGAGAGTCAAGTGGAAAACCTCACATTAAGGCAGCATGTTTACTGTTTTTATAACCAATAAATAAATAAATTAGATATGCAATATGTTGACTTGAAGCTTTCTATGCACTTCAATCGAGAGAGATCAGACAGAGATCTGCATGCATGCATGAATTAAAGTCCTTTGGCTCGCCAGGGCCTGAGACTGGTGGTGAAGGTCGATGGAAGGTGGGTGCCTGAAGAGCTGGAGAGTGGAGGTGGAGAAAGGGTGGCGCAGAAAATGTTTGGAAACCACTGGGGGGGCGCAGAAGAAAAAGTTTGGGAACCACTGGATTGACTGATGGATGCATCCCAGACTTAAAGTCAATATATTTTATAAAATGTTCATTTACCTGCAGCTGATACATTAACCACAGTGTTGCATGCTACTTTGTTTAATCTCTAACATGAGTGACACAAATTAGCATGCTCTTTTTTTCAGGACGACACCAAAAGACATTCAACTATCTGACTCATCCCACAATCCTTTGCACCTCATGTCTTAAAGGTCCAATGGCGTTTGAACACGCCACTCACCAGATCAACCATATTTTATTCACAGACCTTATTCCAGGAAACGTGTATCTGATATGACCGCCATTTTAACACTTAAGTCCACTTCCGTCCATACACTCACACACACACAAAATGTGTTTAGAAATGTGCTGATAGGTTCCCATGGTGATGCTCTGTGAGATGCATGTCCCCTACTGTTCTCACAGTTGGTGCGAGGCAGAAAAATGACCCTGAGTTTAAGTCTTACCCAGGAGTGTTTCTGTATGATGAGGTTTCTCTCACAACTTCCTCAAAGCATCCAAAAGCAAGCATGCTTATCTGTAAAGCAATCTATTCAATTTGCTGCTGCTCTTTGTTCGTTGAACAAATGTTATTTATAATAATGAGGCTGATCTGATGGTGGTGACCTGCAGCCTATAACAGATAAGTGGGTAAAACTAGACAAGATGGTGCTCAGCAGATAGAGGTCAGTCAGTGGCAGAAGGTCAAAGTTTACTGTTTTAGCATTTTTCTCTCTCTGTGTAAAGTTCACACATCAAAATAGGAGAATGCTTAAAACTGAGAATGAGCAAACTGTCTTTTGCAAACCTTTGTATAGCGGCTCTGTTTAGCAACATGCATTCAAATTTAGTGTGTTTTTGTTTATTTGGATGTTTCTGTGCGAGCCAGTAAGAAACATTGTGCATAAGGTTAAAATATCTGCAGCGGACAGGAAATGCAAACCACCATCAAGTGCTGCAATGTCAGTGGCTGCTGTCGTGTGAAGTTAGTATAAAAGGGAAGGAAACACAGAGAGAAAATAGTAAGAAGTGGAAGCANAGGAGGATTTTTACAGCAGAGCGTTACATGCTGCTTTGGTAACTTGACTGTAAAATCACATTTTAACGGATTAAACCAGCAGAGAGGATTGTGGGTAGGCCAGCTCCTCTGTCTCCTCCAGAACTGTTGGACCAGATCAACCTCAGCAGGCAGACGGGATTTTAACAGATCCTGTTCTGAACTCTGAGGATGTTTTCCTGAACTCAGAGCCGAGCAGCAGAGATTTCCTGTTTTTCATTCCTTCCTTTATCAGGTAAAGTTATCAATGAACACAGAGCCTGATAGGAACAGAAGGACAAAGTACCAGATAACAAACTCCTCAGTTTAGCTCCTCAATAAAGCATTTAGAGGTTGGAGCAGCTGTTTGGTTTTAATCTATTTAAATATTAATCTATGAAAGTATTGATTATTTTGGTGATGATATGGAAGAGAACAACACAAGCAGCAGAACCAAACTAAAGTCCAATTTCTCCCAGAGAGACGATTAAAGAGACTTTGACTCTAAAGAACCAGGATAAACGGGTCGGTCCAAGATTCCCACTGAGAGAACAAAGGTTTGAACTTCCTGCTTCTCTGTTAGTTTGAGACCAAATGTCAGAAAATCAAAGCTTCGTCTGTTTCCTGTGAAGATATGAAGAGCTGAAGGAGAACCGGGCCGAGTTCTGGTTCTGGTTCCTCCACAGAGAGAAAACCCAGAGAGAGGAAAACAAGAAGAAGTGAACACTCACCTGATCCAGATTCTGGTTTGCTGCTAAATGAACTTTGACCCCATGTCTCCTGATCTGATCCCTGACTCCACCTGAGGCTCCGCCCCCTGCCCAGGTGACTTTAACACCTTTAATGTCTTCTTGCCTTTGAATCAACACTGAGCTGAGCTGGAAAACTTTAAGCTTAAACTTTTTCAGTTTTTTTCTAATTTTTAGTTAACTTATCATTTCTTGTCAACTTATCAGTACAGGAAGTGGTTCAGTAAAACAGGAAGTGATCAGCAGAAATCCTGGGAGGAGATCTGATCGCTTTAGTTCAGCTTTAATATTTCTGTCTTTGTTTCTAGTCTGGAAAACATTCGGCTCCATTTCTAGACGGATCGTTTTCTGACTGCTTCCACTTCTTTGAACATTAACCTTCATGCCGCCAATCCTACTGCAAGGGTCAAAGGTCGATTCCTCTTTATTATCCTGGTGGCAATTCATTTTACAGCAGGCAGTAAAAACAGGAACAAACCAAACTCTCAACATCCAAACAGCTCCACAGGTTACAAAGTGCAGCTGATGGTGTGAGAGACTGAAGCAGCTGGTTCTGATGGTGAATATGCAGCTGAAGGAGGGAAACAAGGTCCGTCCTGATTGGACGACTCGGATCCATCAGAACAGTTCACTACGGTCAGAAAAGATACTGAACCATAAATCTTTACGACTCTAAAGGCTCTTCTGGTTCAAACTGTTGGCAGCAACAAGTTTAGTTTGGTAATCAATAACTATCAATAAGAGCCTGAAGGGCAATTATGATTAAAGTTGATCATTTTGATCATCAAGTCTGGGCTCCAGCTGATTATCAGGAATCAATATCCAATCAGCTCCCAGCCTCTCTTACTGTTTATGAATATCAGCTGTGAGGCTTGGTATTATTGATCCACATGGAGAGAAAAATACTTCAAACTTTTTAACAAAGCTGTTAACATTCAACTAAAATACTCAGTAAAAATGACAAGGAAAGCTACTAACCTTTGATTAGGAAGTTTTCAGGATGGAACCGGACTAAAGAGTGAACCGGGTCGAGATGCGCCGCAGCGCTCAGTGGAAACAAGGCATTAGTGACCCGAACCAGCAGGAGAGAGAAAAAGGAAAGATTCTCTAAAAGCAGAATAAAACATGTGGATAAAAGCTGCTGAGCTTTTAAACACAAAGTCAGTCTGGAGTTCAGATCAGCAGCAACAAAGTATTTCTGCTGCTGCCATCTTTCCAAGCCTGGTTCTGAATGAAGAGCGGTTCTGATCCAATCAGAGCACAGCTCTTTGACTTTTAAACATGAATGATTCAAAATAATGATGTTCAGCTGCTGAGCAACTGAGTCGCCACAGG